ATATTGTTTACGTCTTCTTCAGGTATTTGAAGCTGTTGTATCAGGACGTTTCTCAACACTTGCTCGGTTTCTGCTGGAGTTTCATGTGAAGAATCTCTGACACCGTAATCTCTGAAGTTGCTTCTTCTTGACTGAGCTTCAAGACGTATGTTGCGACATACTAATTTGTCGACTTAAGCCTTCAACTGATCATTTTTTTTTGCGAAGCGAAGCAGTCACCTTTTCAGTCGCCGCGGCAGCATTTTTAATTTCTTGAATTTCCTTAGTTGCAGAATTCAAACTTTCCATTAGTTGTTTGTTTTCCTCTGTGAGTGTAGCAATTACTGATTTTAGGTCATCAACAGCTGGTTTGAGAAGAAGTAAGCTTTCTAACTTATTCCTGATATCGTCAAGGGCTTTCAGCATGGCGTCACCCTCGTGGTCGGGAAGCTCCTCGAGGTCGTCGTCAGTTTGAGAACCTTTTTCCCGTATTCTTTTTGCCCTTCTTCTAGAGGAAACGTCATTCTTCCCAAGCGAGTCAGTTTTGGCTGCCATTCGGTAAAAAATTAAGTGCGCTCCATGGTTATAGGAGGAGTTTACATCGAAAACGACGGAGCGATAAAAGAAACGACCATCTTTGACAGCGCCTTATTAGCATCTCTCTTCTCTCTGCTTTTAGTTGTAAACTTTACAACTTTCAGGCAAAGCATTACACCACGGCATTACACCTGGGACATCAAGGCTTAATAGTGCTGTGCTGTCATAAACTTTTATTTGCTGTTTATGTGACATAAGTCTTCTCAAGTTAAGTAGTGTTGAAATTGATGGTCAAAATGCCATGGCCTGGAGTCATTGACTTGACATGAATCCCGTTCTGCCAACGGCAAGCTTTTAAATAAATATTTTCCTGTTTTTTTTTTCTTGTGACAAGTGTGTTTGTGTGTACATTTTAGTTGGGACTCAAAATAAATTCAGCTGCAACTGAGATAACATTGGTAATACACTGAAGGCTAGATGAGCAAGTTACAACGTAGATATAAACCATTGCAAAACAGCGAGATAAGGAATTTGGTAAAAAAAAATAGTTTCACCCATTCGCCCCTGAAGATTTTGCCGAAAAACACATTTTGAAGCTATTCGAGTGGTTTTCTGGTCACCGTCGTGATATAAGCAGCAAAAACTTACCACCAAGCCGTTTACAGGTCGTGCACTTCGCGTCCTTCTGATCCAGATGCAAAATATCAGCGTGCAAAGTTCCGGCATGTGCAGAAAGCAAAATTTGGTTTTAAGAGTGACATAGCAGTCTTGAGTTTTACTTTTTCCTTTCTCTCCTCATTTTTTTCTTTCCCTGGGCATCTAGTGGGCTTAATTTGGTGGGAAAAGTTTTTAGGAAAGCTTTAGGATCTTAGGATTAGGATCTTAGGATTAGGTGAAAGGAAAGGCAGGTGAGTAGTGGAACAAGATCTTCTTGGCAATTTTCTGATCTGTTTTACATGGTTTTTTGCCTTTTTCTCCGGTGTCCTTGACTGAATTGTGCTCATTCTGGTATGGTTTGAAAGATATCTTCATACACACGTTAGTGGGCAAAGTGTTCCTTGACCGTTAAAACTGATAATGTCACAAGCGGTAGAAGGGACGTGGATCCGCAGGGGCTGTTACGGGCAGCTCAGGGACGAATGGGTTAAGAGGTATGGAAAAACTTCATAGTTGACCAAACTTAAATTCTTGGGCTTTAAAGTTTTTAGCCTAAATCCCAGCTTAAGAGAGTCTTCACGTACAGGTGACTATCTATTTAAATTTATTTGAACAAAAGAGCACCTTTTACAAAAGAACTGCCCTGGTACAACAACATGCCTACTGCTTCATGTTAAGGAACACCAATGTGGCTGATGTGAATTTGCGAACATTAACCTCTACTTGATGGCATACAGTTTCTTCATCTGATGTTTTTTTTTTATTTTAATCTTAATTGGACATTGGCAAGTCACTATTTTGATGCCTCAATTTTTTCTCCAAACAACAGCTACTGGTGGCGTTTTACAACCCACCCACATAGGAGAACTTAATAAACTGATTACCTACATTAAAGGTTGATTTCTCTTTTCTTTTTTAACTTGGTTTGTGTGGGTCTTTCTACAAACTTGTATTTTTAAACATGTTTGATGAAAAGGTCTGTCAATATCAACTAAGCTGAGACAGGTCTTTAAAGGTCATTAACGATTTCTAGTGCTTTCACATAAATGTCAATTCCATAACAGGAAGACTCCTCGATTTAAATAAAGTTCGTGTTAAAATTCCTCTATCATCTGCTATCTTATTATAGAACAACAAAAAGTCAGCCTAAGACATTACGTTGACAACTACAAAAGCTCCAGATATAAGTAAAGAACATCAACTTTTTTAATACATTTATTGTTGCACATAAAATGTTTTGTGCCATTAAACGATAGCACTAATTCGGCTGATCTGCAGTGTAATAGCCACAGCTGACGTCATATTTCGCTTATTCGACTTTGTCACATAAAATCTTCTCCTGGTTCCGTTTTTTTTCTGTACTTCTTCTGATTCTCTAGTTCTCTGGTTCTCTGGCTCTTCTGGTTCCTCTGGTTCTCGTAGTTCTCTGGTTCTTGTGGTTCCCTGGTTCTTGTGGTTCTTTGGTTCTCGTGGTTCTTTGGTTCTTGTTTTGGTTCTTTGTGTTTGGTTGCCCTGTTCCACTCGCTGTCAGATCTTCAGCGATGGCACAACATGTGGGAACCTTGGAGTAAGAGATGGAATGAGAGCGACAAGCGAGCGGATGTATGGCGTCAGATTGAGGACATAATGGACAGTCATTCTTTGCAGGGTGGGTAATCTCTTTGCTGGGTGGTTTAAACTATCCTTGGTAGAGTGGTGTGGTTTCTCGTAGGGTGGGCACTCTAGGTAACTTGATGTATTTAAATATCTTTCGCAAAAAATTTCAGTGAATAAAGCCCGACACACATCTTTCCAAAAAAAAAACAACAGGCTGTAACTGGTGCAAACAGAACGACGGATTGACCACTGAAGAGTCCACTAATTTATTTTGGACACATACTGACAAGAGTTTTTAAGCTATGGGTGTTAATGAGCTTACCTCATACCTTGCACATGTCTCGAACTGAGAGCTATCCCTTTAAGCAAGCCGAAACCCCGCCCATTCTGAATTTCAAATGAGATTTCAGCTTTAGAGGCTTCGTAACTTTCATGTATCACAGGTAGGTGCAGGGTGGCAGAACACGTGTTCGCTTTAGGGAACCTGGAGTGCCCAAATTTTCCTGGCTTTTGTAAGAATTCGATGGTAGGGAATATCTTACATGGTCGTTAGGTTCTGCACCCCGTAGCAAAGAATAAGATGTCGCTTAGATGAATGGAATCCTCGCCGTCTTCTATATCTTGCAAATAGTCACTCCAACGCGAGAGCAAAAGGCTTTCAGTAACTGCTTTGGTTGACCCAACAGGACTTGTCTTAACTGTGAACAACCCTTCCAAATTTTCTGCAGTAGTAACCACTTCAGGAGTATAGCAAAACAACAGACGAAAGGTATCTGGAGATTCTTTCGTGGCTGCCAACACTCCATGCGCCGACAGCCCCTCCTGAAACCTCTCCAGGGCTAAATGGGCTCGTCCTAACACAAACCAATGAGAGGTTAAAGCAACAATCTTGGGAATGTCATCCAGTGATCTCACTGGTTGCAGAGTTCCAGCAAGGTCAAGAATTTACGGTAGGTTACCTTCGTTCAAGGGTCGCAGAGCCTCCTCTAAAGTACCAGCATTCACAAGTGCAAGAAGGGACGACTGCAGCTCAGCATCGTACACGTCTTGTACAGAAACAACTACTTTGGAAATGTCATTAACAAGAGCGTCAAACATCAAGGGTGAAAGATATTGTAGAGCGGGCCCCCCATGTACCATCCTGTATGCATGTAGACTGATAAGACAGGAGCCTACAAGTCCACAAAACAACTGTGATCTGTGCAAGTGATCCAGAATCATAGGAAAAAGTTCTCTCATAGGTCCAGGGTTTGTATACTAGAAACACAATCGCTGTGGTCGAAAGAAAGATCGGTAATGAGCTCTGAAGATCTAAAGGACTGGAAAGAAGAAGTGTCGATTGGGCATCCAGAACGATTTTGGCGGTGACAATCAAAGAATAAAAATCAACGATAAAAATTTTTAATGACGTTTCAATGACTCGCTCATCATTTTCAAGTTCTAAAAAGTTAGATTGTTAAAAGTTCTTTATATATTAAGAATGCGTGTGAAGTCTCGTTGCACGTGTTTTAAAACTACAATGTGGAATGTAGTGAGTGTTAATTAGGTACTAAATAGTTTCGCTTTTATTGAGTCTGACTGAGTGTTCAGTTTGGGTTTCTTTTCCTGGATAAAAAGCATTTCGTAGATCAAGCATTCAAATTTCCCACGACATTTCTTCAGTATAGTGAATTGTTCAGTGAGGTCTTTGTTCTTCTGATTGTGATCATTTGAAAATGATGAGCGAGTCATCGAAACGTCATTCAAAATGTTTATCGTTGATTTTTAGTCTTAAATGTTTATCGAAAGCGTCTGTTATTAGACAATCAAAGAGAACTGGAAACAAGTGGGGTTAAATCATGTTCCTTACATCAAGTAGAAGGTACCCTAGTGCCCGAGATTTCGCGCCAGTTTTCCGACAAAGATGGCATCCAGCGGGAACTCGTCTGAAAAGGGGGAAAATACTAGAAGAACTTCAACAGAAAGGATGTGAACTCTCTACGATCCTTGGCAGTAAAGTTACCAAGAAAACAAGCCCTAATCCACTTAATCAAGCCGGTTCCTCTGGAAGTTCTAGCTCTTCCAGCCGCTCCTACATGCCGAGCTTTCAAAGGCAACGCACCACGGCTGGAAACAACCGCTTTCGCGGTAAAGTAAAAGGGAAATCGGTCGTTAAAGCCATGAGAGATATGATATTGCTAACTGGTCCCGATATTAACAGCGTCCCAAGGCAGGGGAAGAGAGTGTGGTTAATGGAGAAGGACCATGTGATTTCTGGTTTTAAGCTGCAACAAGCAGTCAGAGTGTGTGGTTGAAGCATGCCTGAAAGAAGCATTTGAAGGGAAAATTCCAGATGGTGTAGATTTCGAGATTCTCACGTCCGTCCTCAGTATCTCGGTGAAACCGACTCTTGCTCCTGGTCAAGTTCTAAACGGCGTAATGGTGCACAGAATATTTAAGCAAAAGGCTATATACATCAGACCATTAGAACAAATATGTGATGTCAGCAGTTTCAGCATAAAGAGATCCTTAGAAGAAAATCAGGAGAATGACCATGTACCTCAGAGTCCAAAGGTAAACTTCTCATGTGGATTGATATGCTATCTACATTTTAACACCCTCGGGACTAGTTTACCTGTATAATGTCGAGAATAAAATATGCCGTCCAGTTAATGTAAACCATCCAACCACTGATGCAAGCCCAAGACAATGTGCGCATTACTTGCCTGCCACCTTGAGAGGGCTGGTTGTTAATTCAAAGATTGCATTTTTTGTTTTTTAAATTTTTTAGAAGATCATTGTTGAAGAGACTAAAGAGGATCTTCCACAGATGTTGGATGCTGCTCATGAAGGTAAAATGTTTACTGAATGTTGTCGTGGGAAATAAAGAGAATAGATGATGCCTATTAGCACTGTACTCTGACACCACAATATACAACTTCAGAAAGGAAACAAAACTTTGAAAACTACTGAAAATTTTGTTTTGATGTCTTTATTTATTTACAGAAAGCCCAAGTACAAGTAGTTGACTAGATGCCGAAATGCACAAATGATCTGGATTTGTCATCCTTTATTGATCATAATGATTTTGAAGGTATAATTCAGAAACTTATAGGGGTTTGAAAAAATAACACTGTAAAATACTACATTTTTGTAACCCCTCATTTTTAGGAATGCCCTGACAAAAACATTCCCCTTTGAAATTTTGATGCTTGTGATACATCAGAAAAGTCTTCACCATACTTGTTATATTATGCTTTTTATGACACGAACCCCAAGTTCTGTCTGTTATTGTTCCACAGCTCTGCCACTTTTTGCAAGTCAAGAGATATCTCATGGAGAAAGACCTTTAAAGCCTGTGACTGTTCACAAGGCTCTTCTAAAGGGTGAAATGATTGCTATATTCAGAGATCCAAGTATACTGCAATATGAAGTTGATTTTACTATAATTGGACACACTGGAGTAGAAGAGGAAGGGCAAGGGTCAGGGGTACTTATAGAGGTATTAACAAGCTTTTGGCATGAATGTTTCAGTAGTTTGACTGTTGGTGCATGAGAAAAAGTTCCTAGTGTTAGGCATGGTTACCAGAAAGGGGAGTGGGAAGCAATTGGCAGAATAATTGTCTATGGTTATTCAATTGCTAAGTATTTCCCCATTGCCCTGTCCCCAGCTTTTGTTGCAAGTGTGTTTTTTGGGGAGGAAACTTTAACACCCGAGTTTTAAATTGAATCTTTTAAGTCATACATGTCTCAAGATGAGAGTAGGGTTTTAGAAAAGGCTCTTGGAAATGACTTTGACCCCAAAGATAAAGATGTGCTAGATTTGCTAACTTACTTCAAGTGTTACAAAAGTCCTACCAAAACCAACATTTTCAACATAGTACATGAGCGTGCTCATCAAGAATTGGTACAGAAGCCTCTATATATTTAACAATTATTCTTTGAAATCGAGGTGAATAGTGGCTTCGCGGCGAGGTAAATATTTCCAAAGCCACTATTCACCGAGATTGAAAAGAATAATTGTTTTAGTATATACACACGAAGTGATCTCAACAAAATCAGAGAGGAAACCATTCAAAAGTACGAT